GCATATATATATGTCACCACAGATTCATAACAATTTAAAATAATAATAATAATAATAATACTAATAATAGATAATTATAAAAAAAATCAAAATCCTAGGACACCGCCGATGATACTCAAGAGGACAATCACCAGAACTACTAAACAGATTATTATAAGTATTTGTTTCTGTAAAAAATGAAAAAAATAGAAAAATAAAACATAAAAATTATTATACAACTAGTATTTCACACAATCCCTCCTCCCCCTCCCGCCAATTGATGGGAGGAGTGGGGGGTAGGGGTTGTTTAAAAGGGATCATCAAATAAATACGGACTCGTCTAGACTTTCGTTGAAATTCGCGGGCCTTTTTTGTGTCCAATTTGGCCGTTTCGATGTACTCGCGGGCGTGTTCAACATGATATTCAATACGGTCTATCATTTCGCCCTAAAAATTGTTTTTTTTTGTGATTTTTTTTGTGTGTGCGCCGATTTTTGTCAAAAATATATATTTTTTTTCAATTAGTATTATATATATACTAAAATAATATTAATAATAAAATTAACACATTTATAGCAGTTATAGTTTTGTTGAAACAAAATTGAAAGCGCCTTAACTTTTAGACGGACGGACACGAAATATATAGATATATATACAGTATATATAAGGAGATGAAAGTTAATGATAAAAAGTTTGCGGTAATTAAAAATAGTGAAAAAAATAGCCAACATTTAAATGGTTATCCAATTAGATGGTTAGTTATATATATATATTTAAATAAAGACAACAAACGTTTTTAAAAAAGAGCCGGACGTTAGGACACATGAGTTTGCGGTATATATTTTTAGACAACAACGACAACAACACGTTATAAAACTTTTTTTTTTGGTTTTTGATTAACACTTGATTTTTTTTTGGTAGAGAAAAGCGTTATATAATTAATAAGTTAAGTGCATGTTATTGGTTATAGTATTAAAAAAAATATATTAAGTATATATATATATATATAAAAAATAATTATAAGTTATAATTAAATGTAATTATTTTCAACAAATGGTTAGTGAAGTGGAATTTTTTTTGGGGGGGAATCATTGGAATATTTTTGGGGGGGAAATCATAAGTTAAATAATATTATATATAAATAATTAACAAATTAATTACTACAACACAAACACAAATAAAGCATACAAAAAAAAATACAAATACTATTAACAATTATAATTAAAACAACAAAAATTCATAGCACATGTAGTTTTTTTTTAAGTTAGTGTATGTATATATGTGTGTGTGTGTGTATAGCTGTGTAAAAAATTATTATTATTACGGTACCTGACTTTCGACAAGCATAGCCATATCCATGAACATGTCGTGCAGTTCCCGTATACTGCTTTCCAATTTAATAATGTCCGCGTGTCGGGCCTCGATATCGGCCAGCGTTTGTTTGGCCTGTTGAGTGTCGGTCATAATCTTTATGATGGGTGAGGGGGGGCAAACAAACAAAAAAAACAATTAGATTAGATTAACCGTAGTATTAGAAAAACAGGTAATCAACAGATAGGGGTGGGAAAGGACAGGACGGAAATGGATGTCCACAAAACAAACATCACTTACTCCTTGTGTAAAAATAGCGGGATTTCCGCTTTCGATCATCTCCTCGAGTTCATCATTGGTGGTCGATCGACCGGCTGTTCCGTTCAAATAATAATAATAAGAGATAATTAGTGGTTATTATAAATACGACATACAATCACTACCATCATCAGCACCACTACCACTACCGACTACTCACTTATTTCTAACTGTCTCTGTATTCTAGCTTTACATCGGTCCCGATAATCGGTTTGTGTCTTATTATAATCGGTCATAACTTCGACAAACTTTTGCGATAACATCGAGTGCTGAGTCTTCCGGATTCTGAAGTCGGCGCTCATCATTGATGTCTGTTCTAATTGTTCTATATTTTGCTCCATTACTGATGGGATGGATAATAATGGACACAAAAAGAGAGAGAGAGAACCAATTAGTAGATCAAACAAAGACAACAACAAAAAAGTACAGACCTTTTAATTTTCCCCGTACTCTGTTGGCTGTCCTCTTGATTTCGGCCATCAGATCATCCAATTGTTGTTTGACTTCTGTTTACATCAACAAATGGACACAAATAACGGGTTATTGAGTTACAAAAAAAAACGGACACTTTTTTTCTTAAATCTATCGATATATTAATAGCCGATAATATTTCGGCGGCCAAACAAACAAACAAACAAAACACATACTATCGTCAGTTTGCGGTGCACTCAATATTGCCGAATGAATTTTCTTCACCTCCTCGACACTGGTCTGCATCTTCTCGATGTTATCGCGAATCTGTTCCACCTGTGATGTGTGTGTGTGTGGCAGAGATAATAGATGAAAATGAAAACATAACCCAATTAATTAGTGTCGGGATGTCTATTGAATTGTGTGAATCAAACCAAACAAACACTCACCTCCTGGAAGAACTCTTCCATATAACCGCCCCTTTCGTCCACACCGACGGCCACATCGTCGTCGTCTGTTTGGGCCTAACAGAGGAGTAATTAAAAAAAAAATAAGACATTAGATCCCGCATTAGGTGGTAAAACATGATCTCATCCATCAGCAGATCCAGTGGCTATCGGCTATGTATAGCCAACCAAAACAAATACTAACGGCTTTAAGCGCTGCTAATCTGTCTTTAGTCATGTCCTCCTCGTCGTCGTCGTCGTCGTCCTACACCTCCTCCTCCTCAGTGATGGTGGTGTTGTTGATGGCGGCGTCGGCGTCGGTGGTGGCGGTGAATACACAATCTTTCTTGTGGTGTGTATAGTGTCGATGATAATGATGTCGATAGTGGTAGTGGTGGTGATGATGGTCTTCGTCGTCGTTGTTGTTGTCGGTGATGGTTATCAATAGCCAAATCACATCCACAATCACAGACAGACAGACACTAGTAGTCTTGTTGTGGTCTCTGTGATGGTCTCTGTTGTTGTTGTTGTCGTCTCTCTCTCCCGACAATCAGTCAGTCAGTCATTCATTCAATGAATACATACATTCAGTACAGTGTCTGTGCTCTCAAAAGGTGGAGTACAGTCAATGTTAGGGTCACGTGACTACTATTACTACTAGTGCTATAACATCACTACTACTGGCGCTATACTGTTTAGTACTGATTGAATATACAGTACTGTAATGTAATGTATTATTATTATTATTATTATTATTATTAGTCAATAGTACTGTAGTTTAGTTATTTCAAGTCATTGGCGTCACAGTTATAGTAGTACAGTACTGCTGGCATTCAACTCACACATACATACATACACACATACATACACACACATACATACACACACATACATACACACACACATACATACATACACATACATACACACACACATACATACATACACATACATACATACACATACATACATACATACACATACATACATACACATACATACACACACACATACATACATACACATACATACATACACATACATACATACATACACACGCGCGCACACACACACATACATACACATACACACGCGCACACACACAGACATACACACACATACATAAATACACACATACATACATACACACACATACATACATACATACACACTGTATACAGTCTAGGATGGCCAAAACCCAAGTGTATACATTTTTATAATTTTAATTATTTATGATAGTTATTTTTATAAAATTTTATAAAAAAAAACTATAAAGCAGAAAATATTTTTTGTTGACATTTTAATAGACCTATTAACAACAATATCAAAACTAATTAACTAGATTAAGTTTTTATAAGCTATATATATATAATTTATATATATTGTTTTTATTAAAATTGATATACATATTGATTGAAATTGTTGTTTCATAAATTATTTATATTATAAGTTAATATTATACAACAATGACAACAAAAATAATCTAAGATTAAATAAATTTTATTTTATTATTATAATTATTAATATTGCAAAATGTATTAAATGATAACAGTTTAAATAGATTTATTTATTTTTTAATAAAAAATTAAGTTTTATTATTTAAAAAATATTAGGAAATATTGTCCAGGTTAGATTTTTAGACTATTATATTTGGTCACACTTTATTGTATGTATGTGTGTATGTGTGTGTGTATGTATGTATGTATGTGTATGTGTGTGTGTGTGTGTGTATGTATGTATGTATGTATGTATGTATGTATGTATGTATGTATTTATGTATGTGTGTGTGTGTGTGTGTATGTATGTATGTATGTATGTGTGTGTGTGTCTATGTGTATGTGTGTGTCTATGTGTGTGTATGTATGTGTGTGTATGTATGTATGTGTGTGTATGTATGTGTGWGTGTGTGTGTGTGTGTGTGTGTGTGTGTGTGTGTGTGTGTGTGTGTGTGTGTGTGTGTTATACTGTATAATAGAATCATTTATTTTTATTGGAAATTATTCTTACACTAAATTAGAGCCATTCACAAACAGTGTTACAATGTATTCTTATTAATCTATTATTTTTGTTTATTATATATATTTATTTACTGTATAAACATTTCTATGGGTTACCAATGTCAATTAATCAATTTAAATTAGTTGTATTAATTTTGTTTGTTGTTTTAATTATTGAATATTAATTAATAATAATTATTTTGAAAAAATTATTATTGCATAATGTTTATTTTTTATATTATTTTTACATAATTTGTTTAATTATATATAAGCATGATAATTTTTTAGAAAGTTTATTTCAATTTATCCGAAATAATATTTAAATGTATTTTTTTATAAGCATGATAATTAAAAATTCAATTTTATTATTAATATTTTTTTTAAATAAAATAAGTTTGCTAGTATTGTCAACAACAAAAAAACACAATTTATACATATGTTTTAGTAATAAAATTAAATATACACTTAATTTATTATACTTATTATAATATCAATTATAAAATATACTGTAATCAACTTAATAGTAATAATAATAACTTATTGATTAAAAATTTTAATTATTTAATTTGTTTTTTTTTTGATGTAAAAATAATTATTAATATTGGCTTATAATATACAAGATTATTTTAAAAGTTATTTAAAAAAATATGTATTAAACTGTAATTTTTATAATTCAATAATATTATAATATTATATTAAATATGAAATATAATAAGTATATAGTATGAAATTTATCTTAATTAATTATTTATAGTTAATTTCTATTAATATTTAAATGTATTTTATTATTATATTTTTTAATTATCTATTACATTTGATATTTATTAATATAAACATATATTTTATAACGCATAATCTATAAGATAATTCATATATTATATAATTATTAATAAATTTTTAAATTTATTATTAATACAAAAGTAAAAAAAATAAAACTATTTATTAATTATATGTATTTACTTATACAGTATATATATAAATTTTTTCTTTATATATCATAGTATATTTTTGCTGTAAATATTAATAAATTCAATAATAAATTACTGGTAATTAGTTTAACACTTATTTTACATTAAAAAATTATGATTTAATTTTATATTAAATTATACTAACTTATTAAAAATCTATATTTAAATATTTATATTAATAAGCTATAGGCTATAGCTTATACATGTACTCTACATTATTTAAGTAAATTATTATTATTTTTTTTAGCATTTATTAATTTATTATTAATTAAATTACATAATATTATAATTTACATAATTTCTAACTTTTAACTTATGTTATGTTAAAAATATATATATATTATATTATAAATTAATAATAATTTATTGTTGATTAACCGTTCATCACTTGAAATGTTTGACTGATGGCATGGAAAGGCGTAATTTTTCCGATAATATTCTTGTAGTCACCGAAATAGACGATCCGATAATTACCGTTAGGTGTACCCACAGGTATGTCCCAAATGATATCCACTTCACTGTTACCCAACAGTACGTTAGTCCGGCGCCACATAAATCTATAGACACATATTAATTATATGTATATTAATTATTATGATTTTATTTATATAACAGAATATTCTGGTGCTATATATATATACAATATAAAATAATAATAATAATAATTGTTTAGTACTTTGTTTCCCAATTGGCATCCGTGGCAATCACTTGCCATTGATTATCGGTATTTTGTTTAAACCGTTCAACTGTCAGGTAAGTTGACTCTAGTTTAAGATTATTTCGTGGATGTGCCCCAACAAACGTCACCTTAACCTGACTGCCCGTACGGTATGTGCTCTGGGGCTGTACGAGTACATCACCTAATAATATATATATAAACAAATTATATATACAGTATATAATAATATACTGTAAACTAAAAACTAAAAAATAATTACCAAATTTATTGAAAAGTTTAGGCGCATCAAAAATCACACCAACGTTGGCTGTTATCTGTTTGGACAACAAGTTAGGCATTTCAGGTCCCGGTGCTAGTCCGGTCTGTTTGACCATATTGGTGGCCAGTGTTACGTACTGTTGAATGTATGCCTGGAGAGTATGCGGTCCATACATAGTGGATCCGCCTTCGTATCGTTGAATCTGATATTCCTCTGAAGTGGTCACATAGTTACTGTACGAGTTGGCCAGACCGGCAATGGTTACCCGAACTTGCTGTTGTTGGCCATTAGCGGCGAATACGTTTTCGATGGCTGTACGCAGCCGTCGACCAGCCATTGTTGTTAGCTCGCCGGGAATGGCAGCTATGACTACATCGTTACCGATTCGTATCAATTGTGTGGGCAATATATCGGGCGACCAGTCGTACGGAAATTTCATTTCGCCGATACTCAACAGTACGGCTTTCGGTTTCTGGCAATCGATCTGTTCATTGGATGGCTTTCCGATCAAATCTCTCACTAAATTCCATAAAACTGGTTCCTGGCCTTTAACTGTTCCCTGTGTGAACTGGTAGGTGGTGTGTATGTGTATGTGTATGTGTATGTGTATGTGTATGTGTATGTGTATGTGTATGTGTATGTGTATGTGTATGTGTATGTGTATGTGTATGTGTATGTGTATGTGTATGTGTATGTGTATGTGTATGTGTATGTGTATGTGTATGTGTATGTATGTGTTTGTGTGTATACATGTATGTGTGTGTGTATGTGTATGTATGTGTTTGTGTGTATACATGTATGTGTGTGTGCATATGTATGTATGTGTTTGTGTGTATACATGTATGTGTGTTTATATATATGTAATATAGTGTGAATATAGTGTGTAAATACAATTGATAACAATTTTTCAATTCAATTACTTATATAAATAGATAGACTTACAGCCGTAAATCCTTCGCCATCAGTAGTCCCGGCGCCAAACGAGTAGCCCAGTGCTGGTTTGCATGTCTTAACGGACGTATTTGTCGCCAAATTTACCGTATAGTCTGACATATTAACCGTTTGATAGATATACTGAATACTTCCTCGAAGTTTATGGTCATTGCTAGCGAACAGTTCCTTAGCTTTCTGGTACTGTTTGTTGGCTATTATGGATGTGCTGTCAAACATGTCTTTTCCCGGACCAAAGGCAATACATTTATCATTCTGTTTAAGTTAAAAAAAAACCAGAAAATTAATGAGATTTTAAATAAATAAAAATTTAATAAATTTACAAATACCTGTCCATTACATGTGCTTGTAATGTAATCGAACGGTAGGCCAGTGTCGATACATCGGGGACCGGCAGTATTGGGCGAGGAGTCGCCTTCATTTGATTGGGAAAATATGGCCACAAATGGTCCCTTAAATTATATACTAACTATTAGTTCATTATATACTAGTATAAAATTATAAAATTAAAAACAAAAAAAAACATACCTTTCCCGGCAAATTTCCCGGATTATAGTCGGCCTCAAACAATAGGGAAGCGTAGCCTTTATTATCGCTACTAATCAAATGATTAGTATTGTTCATTGAGACGCCGTGTACGGCGTGCCAATTGATTAGTGCCAATGGCCTGCCATTCAAATCGGTAAACTTCATACTATTCATTGTCTTATCCGTATTGTATTTGTATCTATTAATTAACAGTAAAAATCAAAATAATTAATTAATTAGAAAATAAATATATTTATATATTTAAATAAAAAAAACAAAACATTTCTATGATAATCAATTGGGGGTGGGGGTGGGTGGTTGAGTACTAACTGATCCCGTTCCTCTTTGGGATTGTTATCATAACTGGCCGGACTTCTATTGATACTCGAGTCGATCAGTTCACCGGAGTTCCAGTAGATATAACCGGTTTGTAGGCTATTATGTGCCATATCTATACTCTAAACAACAATAATTTTTAAAATAATTATTAATTTAATAATATATATAGTCTTTTATTTTATAATTACCGTATGTACGCGCATATAGCCCCCCCACTAGCAGGTTTTTAAAGAAATAAAAATCAACTTTTAGTATGGGGGCTGTAACTCACATATACTCCCCCCTACTGTGGCTATATGTGAAGTAGTCGTGGGGGTAGGAAACGATAGGGGGATGGTTCAACATAGTGTTAATTTTAGACATTCAAAAACTTCAATAGTGTGTCTATTTGTGAATTAATTAAATCAAAACTTTTGATATGTAGTTCACTGTAACTCACATATAGCCCCATAGTTTTACATAATACCCCCTGAATGCCTTAGGGGGGGTCTATATGCGCGTACGGACGGTAATTATAATCTCATAAATTTTACTGTAATTTTTTTCTCTCAATAATAATAATACCTTAACCACACCATTGGCAATAGCATCGAAACTATCGTTAATAAAACCGCCGGCAGTAAATATATACAATAAATACTGATAGTAACCACCCGGTCCTGAATGGGTATGTATGGCACTGATCAGTACATTGTCGTGTCCATACAAATCGCCATATTTTGCTTTCAACGCCATAATTACCTAAAACATTATATATATATATATATAAACAATTTAATTATTGTTTGCAAAAATTTTTTGTTTTAATAAGTTTACTGTTTTTTTTTTAAATTTAATTTATTAAAAAAAAATAAAACATTTACTTTTATTTTGACAATATCTGCGACACCCTGTATATCGCAGCTAATATACATAAAACGATTACCCTTATTGTCGACCATAATCACTGTCCGACTGTATAGTCGCAAATGTATGCCATTAGTGTCCTGACCTAACATACCGTAACCCATCTAATAGTGATAATATTTTTGAAAAAAATAAATAATTATATATATATACTGTATATTTTAATTTTTTTAAAAATAAATAATAATAATAATTGCTTACCATATTTATTTCGGCTGCCGGCCCGGTAATATCGGCAATACCGGTACCAATTTGATACTGGTCATCATCATCATTATCGGCTACCGGTGCCGTATTTATACTACCGTTTAGTTTAGTATAGCATATAAATACTAATAAAAAAATCTGGTTTAAAATTTTCATTTTTTTCCCTCTAAACTACTATTTTTATCAGTTTAAATCAAATTAGCTAACTATTCACATATTGTATACTAAAAAATAAATTTATTTTATATTAGTTAAAAATCACTTAATTAATAAAATTTTAAAAAAAAACATTTGTTTAATATGTTTATATAATATATATGTGTGTTTAAATAAATGATTGTACATTAAGCTATTAATTATAATGACTAATGTATATATATATATATTTTATAAGAGATTTATTAAGGTATTTAATTTATTACTATAATATTATATTATATTACATTAAATATTTTATTATTAAAAAAATACACTATTGTTTTATAATATTAATAATAACTATAATTAATTTTTAAAAGTCACTAATAACATACGTAATTATTACAATCAATTATAAAATTTTAAAGTAGCTATAATATTAGTTATTTTATTTGTTTGAATTTTTACAATTATATATTTTATATATACGTTTTTTGTACTTTACATAAAAAAATTAATTGTTTTTTCTAAAATGTCTAAATTTATTTGGATGTACTTGTATTTAATTAATGATACAGTATTATAAACATTATAAAACAAAAAAAAATATACACAATGTTATAATATGAATACATGATGTAATTTTTGAATTATTTTGTTTGTATAGGATTTATAACTGTTTGATAATATTTAATAAAAATAATAATAATAATAATAAAACATATATTAAACATATAAATAATTTTTTTTTTAGCTAACTAGTAGTAGTAGTAGTAGTATAACCTGTTTTATTATAAAAATAAAATTTTTAAATACAATTAATACATCTATCGAAATAGCACTTTAATAATATTACATATAAATTTTTAATTGATATATTATTTTTTTTGATTAATTAAATAATTTGTTTAACTATAATTTTTTTTTTAAATAATTAATTTTATCATTAACAATAATAATGCAATTATAAATGTATAAAAGTTAAGTTATTAATAATAAAATCTAAATACTATTATGTAATACATACAATAATTTAAACAATTAATTTCAATTAATATTTTGCTAATATTACAAGATGCTTAAATAATTATTTTTAAAAAAATTAATTAATTTCTAATAAATTATTTTACAAAATTTAGTTTATTATTATTGTTTTATTTTGTTAAATTGTATTATTTAAGATAATTTTGTGTCTATTAATACAATATGTGTACTAAAAAAATAGTTTCTAGAACAATTTATTATAATAGCTATTATTTTTATTATTATTATCAATGTAATGTACTTAATGTACAAAGTTCAATTTATTGTAATTGCCCAAGTTCAATTAATTAATAAATAACTATAATAGTACAAATCAATACATATTTAATTAAATAATTTTTTAAATTTAAAAAATTTATTTATATAATTTAAATAATTAAATTAACTAGGTACATAATAATTTATAAATTATATATATATATATATACAGTATATATCGTACTATAGAGTAATAATAATAGTAAATAAAATATTATATAATATCCGGGAATCAAATAATAATTATAATAAGTAATAATATAATTATTGATTAATATATCGTCTAAAATAATAAAAATCAATATTGATTTTCAAAACCTTATTGTTTATAATATAAACTTATAGTTAAAAAGGGGATATAGATATAGATATATTAAAATACAATAAATAACTAGTAATTTAATAAAAATATCTATTATTATGTAATAATAAATGACATTTAATATATATTATCGATAGATAAGTGCAACAAAAAAAAAATGTTATTAAATATCTCTATGAAATAAATAAGATATAAATTAATCATAAAAAAAATTATTTTCTGATATATATAAATGTTTTTTTAAAAACATTCATTTTATTTCACATAAACATTGCTATTGATTGCTATTACAGTAACAGTTTATACATTACTGTAGTATAATTTTAATAAATTAATTTTAACTAATATATAAATTATTTAGCATTTATTTAGTCAATCAAAACAAGCAAACAATCAATATGAAAATTTTAAGCCAAATTTTTATATTGTTTTTTATGATTTATACCCTACTAAATGGCATATATACGGCACCTGTAGCTAATGATGCTGCTGATGATGACCAGTATCAAATTGGTACGGGTATTGCCGATGTTACCGGGCCGGCAGCCGAAATAAATATGGTAAGTGTGAAAAATATTATTTATTTAATTTAATTTAATTATTATTTAAATTATATATATATATATATATATCAATAGATGGGTTACGCAGTGGTAGGTCAGGACACTAGTGGTATACATTTACGGCTATTCAGTCGGACAGTCATTGTGGTCGACAATACAGGCAATCGTATTGTTTATATTAATTGCGATCTACAGGGTATCGCACAGATTGTCAAAATACAAGTAATTTATTTAATTTATTAAATTTTTAATATTAAAACAATATATATATATATTGATTGATAGGTTATTGAAGAGTTAAAAGCAAAATATGGTGATTTGTATCGACACGACAATGTACTGATCACTGCTATACATACCCATTCAGGACCGGGAGGTTTCTTTCAATATTTATTATACATATTTACCGCCGAAGGTTTCATTTCGGATAGTTTTCGGGCAATTGTTGACGGAGTGGTTAAGGTATGTATTAACTATTTTTTTAAAAAAAAAATTTGAAAAAATAAATAAATAATCGGTTAAAATAATAAATTTTTATTATTAAAAAATATTTGCTTTAGAGTATAGATATGGCACATAATAATCTAAAACCCGGTTATATCTACTGGAACTCCGGTGAACTGACCGACTCGAGTATCAATAGAAGTCCGGCCAGTTATGATAACAATCCCAAAGAGGAACGGGATCAGTTAGTAGACCCCCCCCCCACTTGCCCCACCCCAATTGATTATCATAGAAATATTTTGATTTTAAAAAATATATAAATATATTTTTTTCTAATTAATTAATTATTGATTTACTTTTAATTAATAGATACAAATACAATACGGATAAGACAATGAATAGTATGAAGTTTACCGATTTGAATGGTAAGCCATTGGCACTAATCAATTGGCACGCCGTCCACTGCGTCTCAATGAACAATACTAACCATTTGATTAGTAGCGATAATAAAGGCTACGCTTCCCTATTGTTTGAGGCCGACTATAATCCGGGACATTTGCCGGGAAAGGTATAGCTTATATATATATATATATATATATTATCGGTTAAACTATTATATCAATATATTATATCAATTTAAGGGACCATTTGTGGCCATCTTTTCGCAAGCAAACGAAGGTGACTCCTCGCCCAATACTGCCGGTCCCCGTTGTATTGACACTGGCCTACCCTGCGATTACACTAATAGTACCTGTAATGGAAAGGTATGTTAACTTGTATATATATTTTTTTATTTACTATAATTAATTTTTATTAATAATTTAATTGATTTTTTTTTAACTAACAGAATGAAAAATGTGTTGCCTTTGGTCCGGGAAAAGACATGTTTGAGAGCACATCCATAATAGCCAACAAACAGTACCTGAAAGCTAAGGAACTGTTCAATAGTACGGAACATAAGCTGAAAGGTAGTGTCCAGTATATCTATCAAACGGTTAATATGTCTAACTATACGGTAAATTTGGGGACAAATATGACGATTAAGACATGTAAGCCAGCGCTGGGCTATTCGTTTGCTGCCGGAACTACCGATGGAGAGGGAGCTAAGTTTGTATGTATTTTTTTGAATAAATTATTAATTTTGATTGTATTTAAACTATACCTACATCTATGACTACATTTATATCTACCCCTCAACGATGCCTACATCTATACATACCCCTCAACTATACCTACATCTATACATACCCCGCAACTATACCTACATCTATACCTACATTTATACCTACACTACATCTATACATACCCATAACTATACGTACATTTATGCCTACATTTATATCTACATTTATACCTACCCCTCAACTATACCTACATCTAAACCTACATCTATACTTACATCTATACTTACATCTATACCTACCCCTAACTATACGTACATTTATGCCTACATTTATACCTACCCCTCAACTATACCTACATCTATACCTACCCCTCAACTATACCTACATTTAAACCTACATCTATACCTACCCCTACCTGTATACAGTTCCATCAGGGAACACATAAAGGCGAAGAACCAAAACTCTGGGACTTTGTCAGAGATCTGATCAAAGATCCGTCGAAAGAACAGGTCGACTGCCAGAGTCCTAAAGCCATACTCTTGGATGTCGGCGAAATGAAGTTTCCGTTTGATTGGACACCCGATATAGAGCCAACACAATTGCTACGAATCGGCGATGTGGTCATTGCTGCCGTTCCCGGCGAATTCACAACAATGTCCGGTCGGCGACTGAGAGCAGCCGTACAGAAAACATTCGCTTCGAATGGTCAACAAGTTCAGGTGACCATTGCCGGTCTGGCCAACTCGTACAGCAACTATGTGGCCACTTATGAGGAATATCAGATCCAACGATACGAAGGCGGATCCACTATGTATGGACCGCATACTCTCCAGGCATACATTCAACAGTACGTAACACTGGCCACCAATATGGCCAAACAGACTCGTGTAGCGCCGGGACCCGAAATGCCCAACTTGTTGTCCAAAGAGATAACATTGAAACCGGGTGTTGTATTGGACGCGGCCAAGGCTGGCCATAAATTTGGTAATAAATTTTTATATAAGATATCTATTAGTTTTGATCTGAATTTTTTTGTTTACCGAAATTATTAGGTGATGTACTCGTACAGCCCCAGAGCACATATCATACGGGCAGTCAGGTTAAGGTGACGTTTGTTGGGGCACATCCACGAAATAATCTTAAACTAGAGTCAACTTATCTGACAGTTGAACGGCTTAATCAAAATACTAATCAATGGGAAGTGATTGCCACGGATGCCAATTGGGAGACAAAGTACTAAAACAATTATTAATAATAATAATATTATAACTTATATATTGATTAGATTTTTCGAGAATATTCTGTTATATACACAATATATAAACTAATTTACAACAAAAAAAAACAATTCAATAAATACTTAATTTTTGTTGTTGTTGTATAGATTTGTATGGCGTCGGACTAACGCTGTTTTAGGTAACAGTGAATCGGATATTATTTGGGACATACCTGTGGGTACACCTAATGGCAAATATCGGATCATGTATTTCGGCGATCATAAGAGCATTCTGGGACATATCACACCCTTCGAGGCCATTACCCAAACATTTCAAGTCCAGTCTAACAAATATTATTGAAGAAAAAATTAAAAATAATATTAAATACAAAAATTGATAAATACATAACAAATAAAAAGTTTTTTTAAATAATACTTTTTCAACAAAATTATTTAATTAATATTTAAGTAACAAATAGTATAATATATAAGTTTCAATGAAATATTAATTTTTAAATTATTGTAGTAATCATAACAATAGTAAACTATATATATATATATATATAAATATATATTTAGAAATTAATAATTTAATAATATAATAGTAAATTATATATAATTCACAGTTAATTTTTTTTAAATAACTGATTAATAACAACAACAAAAAATATATAATAAATAATCTTAATAATCAATTAATGTCAATAACAATAATAATACTAATAAAGATTACATAAAATTTGCAATAATTTTTTTTTTAATTAGACATTAGTTTTAGTGTTTTGTAGACAATAACAAACAAAAAAAACTATTTAATAATTTTGCAAAAAAATTGATAATTTTTCTTAATAAACATATTTAAAAAAAATATAATAATTTATATATCAATAAACTGTTTACAATAATAATAATAATTATAATTAGAAAAAATAATAATCTGTTAAACATATAAATCTTAATGTAAATAATAATAATAATTAAGTTATAGTTATATTAATTAGAAAAATAAGTTAATTATTTTTTAAATATAAAGTTTTGACAAACATTTTTTTGTGTTGCATTTCATTACATTTTAAACAAACAAACAAAAAAAAAATACCTCAAAAAAAACTTGTTGTAAATAATAATAATAATAATAATTAAATTATAGTTAACTAATAGATAATACTATTATCGGTAAGTAAAACATAAACAAACAAAAATAAGTCAATTAAAGTAGAGTTAATATATTAGAGAGAAAATAATTATTTTTTTTTGTTTTCACAAAAACTATTGAAAAATTTCTGATTAATTTAATTTAAATTAAATCAATGGATATATTGATGGATGGATCAGCTATTGTAGTGATATATCTGAAGATATCAATCAAATCAAATCAAATCACTTTCTAATGGGTGCTAAATAACAATTTTCGTACCGATGGGTAAACAGACCGAACTTGAACTGATAGAGTCGGACACGTTTTTCTTCGACAGTTTCGGTCAACTGTTCGTTTTCGGCCGACAATTCCCGACACTCCTGTTCCAGATCCAGTATTCGGTTCAACTTTTTCTGGCGACACTTTTTGGCCGCATCCCGATTACGTTGACGTTTGATGTCCATACGTTCCGAGTACGACAGTCCAGCCAACTGGCCTCTGGCACGACGTTTACGTCCAGTTGTTGTTGTTGTACGACAGTTGTCGGTCATCGAGTCCAACATTTCGTCGATCAATCGGCCGGCCTCTTCGGCATTCTTCACACAAGCTGGTCGAGTAGCTCCTGTTGCTGTTGTTGTTTGTAGTTCATCAGTAACTATCGGTAACTGAACTAATGGTGGTTTCGGAGTCGGCATCGGTAATATCGGTATCTGAATTTGTAGCGGAATTTCTAGTACAGGTTTCGGCTGTATTTGTGGCTGTATTGGTGTCTGAATTGGTGTGGGAATCGTTGTCTGCATCATCAATGTGTCCATCAGTTTCTGATTCGGCGATTTCATCAGTTGATCCAGTAGTATATCAATCGGTGTCGGATCCGGTGTCGGTTCCGGTGTCGGCACCGATGTCTCCATCGGTCTATCCATCGGTGTCGGCACCGATGTCTCCATCGGTCTATCCATCGGTCTATCCATCGGTCTATCCATCGGTCTATCCATCGGTCTATCCATCGGTCTATCCATCGGTCTATCCATCGGTGTCGGCACCGGTATATGCATTGGTGTCGGCACCGGTGTCTGGATCGTCGGCGGTGGTTGCGGTGGTCGCGTTGATACCTGTATTGGCGGCGGCAAAAACTCTTCATCAGTTGGCGGCCAACCTATTATAGGCGGCGATAAGCCTAAAATGGATGGAAAATCAAAAACATCGTAGTCGTCGCCAATCAGGTCATAGCCGCCGACAGCAAACGTGTTGGTGGCCATCAATGGCTTCCACATGTTGGGATTGTTGTCCACCATTTATTATTATTATATCGGGTGCTTATGATTAATATCGGCGGCTACGGCGGCGGTGGCGGCGGACAAACACACAGTTATATAGATAGACTGACCGAAAAAAAAATGTGACCAAAAAAAAGAAAAACTAATAGTAATGTTAACTATAATACAGTAATAGCTATAATATAATAACTACTATATGTAAGTACAGTAATAGTAATGTATTAATACTTTATATTAATTTTAAACTACTGTATAATAAATAATGTATTTTTTTTATTATTATTAATATTATTGTAATTACAGTATTAGGAGAGTTAGTGTAACTTTTTTTTTTTGCTAATCAAAAAATTTTGAGGTAAAGTTCCCCCCAATAAAAAATATTTTAGGAAAATTTATATATTAATATTTCATTTTATTAGTTATTTAAAAAAAAAATAAAATAAAAAATTAATCTAAATATTCATAGAAATAGTTAAAATATATATATATATATATTATTTTCCAATTATATAATATAATACCAATAAAAAAAACTAATATTGAAATTAGATTCACTCGGGAATTCCCGATTAGGAAAAAATTTGGGACATTTTTTTTTATTGGTGTTGTTGTTGAGTCAAATTTGGAGGAATTTACTGGAAACTTATGGCTGTATTATAGGGAGAGAGAGAGAGAGGGAGAGAGAGAGAGAGAGAGAGAGAGAGAGAGAGAGAGAGAGAGAGAGAGAGAGAGAGTTAGAGAGAGAGAGAGAGAGAGAGAGAGAGAGAGAGAGAGAGAGAGAGAGAGAGAGTTAGAGAGAGAGAAAAAAAAACTCTGAGATATAGAGAGAGGTTTTTGATTTTTTTTTGTGACTGTTATTTGATTTCGTCTCTCTATTGAAAGTACAATATATAGTACAGTAGAAACCATTATAATTATCGATAAGTCTTAATATGGCTGCCATATAGTGTGAGAAATATTTTTTATTTATTTATCTTTTTTTTCAAATTTTTTTTTTGGTTACATACATGTATTAACTAGGGTTCAGACACTAATTTCCAAAAAATCCTATTTTTTCTCACACTTTCTATACATATGTATATATATATATATAAGTTTTTACTAAATATTTATTATTTATAAATAAAAAATAAATATTCAAAGTTTTCAATCTTCTATTTATTGTAATAATAATTATAATTATATATAAAATTTATTTTCCTATCATTTTATTTATCTATTTATTTCGTCTATATTAATGTAGAAATTTGTTAGACGGGAGGGAACTTTCCTCTCAATACCCGAACCCTAGTATTATATTTTTGTTTGTTTCAAATATGTTGTGTCGTTTAAATCATTATCATATAATAATGTGTTATCAATTTACTAGTCAATGCTAATTAGTATTATTAAAATAAAAACTTTTCAAAAATTTAATTTAATGTAAATCTTATGGGATATATATATATATATATATATATATATATATATATATATTAGAAACACTTATAAGTTATGTTTTTTTATTTATAACATAAACTCTAGAAAAATCTAAAATTAAAAAATAAAAAAAATAAATTATTAATAATTTTAAATTATTTTACTCGCGAAACTTATAGTTTATTTTTAATTTTTAAAGTAATTTATTTATTTATTTTTTTTAATAAAAATGTTATATTATGTCCATGATATCTCCAATATAATAATAATTTTTAAAAAATAATTATATTTTAACTAGATGATATTTAAGATCACTTTAAACTTTAAATTTTTGTTTTACATTTAGTACATACCTATTTTGAACACTAGATGGCTATCTATTAACTATTATGGTGTTAGGTATAGTGTGTATGTATGTATGTATGTGTATGTATGTGTATGTATGTGTATGTATGTGTATGTATGTGTATGTATGTGTATGTATGTGTATGTATGTGTATGTATGTGTATGTATGTATGTATGTATGTGTGTGTGTATGTATATATGTGTATATGTATGTGTTTGTATGTATGTGTGTTGTAATACATTGTATACAGTATAGCAACAATATCAACGAAAGTTAATTATTAAAAATTAAATAGTTTATAATTAATTAAAAGTTTATAATTTAATAAATAAATAAATAATATTATTTTGCAATAATTTTAATAAATAGATAATTAATTTTTTTTATTAAGATTGATTACATAGATTATTTGTTATTATTAAGATTTGAATATTTGAATTATTTTTATTTTTTTAGAGAGAGAGAGAGAGAGAGAGAGAGAGAGAGAGAGAGAGAGAGAGAGAGAGAGAGAGGAAATGCTATATAAATCAAATATTACTATATTATTATTATTATTATATTAAAAGATTTATAATCAAAAAAAAAATTAAGCCTTTTATATATGTATTTAATATTAATAAAATGTAAATAACTGTGAAATATATGAATGAAATATATTTAGTCAGTATATATATAGTTATTTTGTTATATATTTATATAGTATTAAAATAATGATAATAATATCGTGTGAATTTATGATTAAATTTAAATTTGATTTACAATCGTCTGAGAGAGAGAGAGAGAGAGAGAGAGAGAGAGAGAGAGAGAGAGAGAGATAAAGATAAAATCAATCATTTTATATTAATCATACATAACATTTATATTATATATAGCGGGTATAATACAATTTATTATGATTTACTGGTTACTGTCATAGACACTGTGTTATATATATACTTTATATATATAAGTTTGTTAATATAAATATAATAAATTAATATAAATTATATACAAAATACGATAATACTATAATATACGATATATATATATAACAGTATATTTAAGAAATTATTATTTTCTCATTGCATTTAATACTTGTGAACACATAAAAAAAAATAAAACAAAAAAAACAAAATAAATTAATGCAGTTATAATGCTATATATATTGTAACTATATATATAGCTTATATGCATTATATTACACACACACACACACATTCACACACACACACACACACACATAGAAATAAATAATAAGCAATAAATCTTATAAATAAAAAAAAATAAAAGATATATATATATATATAACAATATTTTATTTTCTATAATATAAGAAATTTTTATATATATAATAAAATTTTATGAAAGCTATTAATTTGTGTGTATGTGTGTGTGTGTGTATGTGACATACACACATAAAATACAGCAATAAATTGCTATATATACAGACACTTATATATAAACTTATATAACATATATTAAGTACTGGTATATAATAATAAATGGATTGCAATTGAAAAATGAGAGATTGAGTGAAACAGTGAAAACAGAGAAAATAAATCATCATTTTTATGATATATAAAATGAAAATCAAAGTGAAATATATATATATATATATATAAAATAGTATTGTATTGAAAGCAGCCATAAAAGTCGTAAAACTAATGGACGGATACAACACACACACAAAAAACAATTTAATAGGACAGGGAGTGAGTGAGTGAGTGAGTGAGTATGTGATTTGCCATACAGATTGTATGCTTGTATGCATGTGTTTGTCTATTAGTGTGGTGGGTGTGTGTGTGTGTGGATTATTATGGGTGACAATTGTTAGGCAGATCTAGGTCTATGACCAGAGAGAGAGAGAGAGAGAGAGAGAGAGAGAGAGAGAGAGAGAGAGAGAGAGAGATAGTTTAACTATAAGTTTTAAATGGTTTTTATTGCTCCAGAAAAAAAATAAGAAATAAGATGCCAATCATTTCCCAAATGGTAATGAAAATGCTAGTTAAGAGAGAGAGAGAGAGAGAGAGAGAGAGAGAGAKAGAGAGAGAGAGAGAGAGAGAGAGAGAGAGATAAAGAGAGAGAGAGAGATAAAGAGAGAGAGAGAGAGAGAGAGAACCGGGCGATAAAAACAACGACAAAATTTATTGGTTTCACTTCACAAACGATTCACACAAGCGCTTAACGATAGGACGACAACCATATATTATATACATATATATAAAACTGGTGCCCATCGTTAAGGTTAGGGGTGATGGATGGGGGGTAGGAATGGGAAGGGTAGGGAAGACACATACACACACACACACACAAACAGTCATATAACATAAGGATATAACATATATACCGTAATACTGTATATAAATTATAACATTTGTATTGTATATAAATTATATAACATTTGAAGTTTCAAGTAATAAATTGAGTGCCGAGTGCTGGTGTGTGTGTGTGTATGTATGTATGTGTTGTTGTTGTTTCATCACTGGGTATCGCCTAATAGTAATTCAATTGGGGTCAGCCAACCATTTAAGAATTGATGACTTCAGCGCTAAATCTCTCTCTCTCTCTCTCTCTCTCTCTCTCTCTCTCTCTATCCCTGTGTGTGTGTGACAGTTAATGTATATAAAACTGAAGAGAGAGAGAGAGAGAGAGAGAGAGAGAGAGAGAGAGAGAGAGCACTGGTATCATAAGATTTATAGTTTTTGAGTGTCAGAGCTCTCTCTCTCTCGAAATAAAGCCAATTCTCTGCACACAACTGTTCACTTAATTCATCTAATTCTCTAATTCTTGTGCCAAACATCCATCAAACAGCTCTCTCTCTCTCTCTCTCTCTTTCTCTCATTTAACAAGCAGTTCACCTTGTGGCCAATTATCCGGGACATCCACGACTCCAATGACAAGCCATTGAATAACATCCTTTCAACTTAAATTGTATATGTATATATATATGTGTGTTTAAAAAGACACCAAATAATTAAAATAAAGTGATATATATTTATAAACACACAGTTGATGTGTTTGTCGTGTTTGTTAAAAGTCATAAATATTATAACAAATTTTCTCACTCTCTCTCTCTCTCTCTCTCACTCACTCACTCTCTTTCTCTCTCTAACTCTCTGTGCGCTTTCAATGAGCTTTTTAAGGCTAACACTAAAAACTAAAAAATTTATTTGGCATATCATAAATTTTACATAACATTAGACTACAGTATATTACACACTATAAATAGTGAGATAAATAGATAGATAGTTAGCGTGTGTTTTTAAATTTAATGAGAGTGAGTGAGTGAGTGAGTGAGTGAGTGAGTGAGTGAGTGAGTGAGTGAGTGAGTGAGTGAGAGTGAGTGAGTGAGTGAGTGAGTGAGTGAGAGAGAGAGAGAGAGAGATTGTTTCATAAATTTAATGTTTAATTTTTCATCCAAAAAATAAATGCTTATTTCTATTATAAATAGTTTTGTTTGCCATTAAACACATCTCCTTTATTATATTAATAGTTA